GTTCCTTCATCATGTCATGAACAGCTCAGTGATAGCGAGAGCATCCACATGCGGCCTGGTCGTTTTCACCACCCTCATTGCCATCCCTGTGCACCACTACGCATGGCGAAAGGCCTGGGCTCTGGAGCTGCGGGAGGCCTAGGCCTCAATGCCAGATGGCTTCTCCGAGCACCAGGTCCCAGCTCCGTAAACATGAAGGTCAACGTGCGTACCATTCAAGCCATTTCGCAACGGTGGCACTGCTGAGGTTTGGGGCCAAATCACTGTGGTGAGCACCTTCCTGTGCATTGCAGACTGCCAGGTAGCCCCCCGGCCTCTGCGCATACGATGTCAGGGACACCTCCCAGCTGCAAAAAACGAAAAGGTCCTTGGACGCGGGCAAACATTCCTGGTGGGGGCGGGGTCAAATATGGGAGCTAGCAGAGTGCTCGGTACCTCACGGTGCCCAGTGAGGGCTGCTCTCGAGGGCTGGCAGGTTTCCTTTTCATCGTCCTCACCAACATTTGTTCACCCACAGCACCCCAAAACATGAGATGTCCTGGGATCTGTCTCAGAGCCCTCTCCGGGGGCGTCTCTCCCAAATACCCTCTCAGGGGAAAAGCTGTCATCTCCAGGAAATGACAGTGCAAAACCTCGTTTCCCCACCGTGGTCTTCAGAGAGCATCAGCAGCTGCACCCCTTCTGCCACACGATTTCACTATCAGCCCGTGCTACCCACAAACCCGGCGCCCTCCAGCCCTTATCGTTCTTCTCTTTTAAACCAGTGATGCAATACCAATGAACTGGTCCTACAGAACTATCATTAGAAACATGGACATTGGGGGCCAGCAGGTGGCAGGGTGATTAGGGTGCTGGACTCCCACATGGCTGACTGTGCTTCGAGTCCCAGACCTGGCAACTTGCTTTCTCACTTTCCCTCTCTCTCTTTCTCTCTAGTGAGTGCACAGGCCCTCTAGCAAATTTAAAATAATTAGTTAATTATTTTTCAAAGGAGACAAAGACATTGAACAATACAGTTAGCGCAGTAAGAAACCGAGACTGATGGTGACTAGGTAAGCATAGGAGCGCTCACTACGGAGAAGCCGTTTGCACGTGAAGAAGTCAACTTTGGGGAAGTTACAGTGATTTGTCCACGACGACAAGGTAGGTGGTGGAGTTAGAATCCGAGACCAGGTCTGCCTGGTTCCAAAGACTTCGTGTTTCCTGCAACCCTACAGGAGTTTTCCAAACAGTGGGCAGGAAGCGCCTCCACCCCTCTGGGAGTCATGGTGTGTGGGGTGCAGAGCCACTGAGCGGCCCTCGGGCCTGAGAATGACTGGGCGAGGCCAGCCGCTCTGGCTAGGAGCAGCCTCACCTGTTCACAGCAGCACACGTGTGAGTTTCTGTGCGGTTGAGAAGCCCCATGCCCTGCGCCTGCTGCTTCCTTGAACCGTCTCAGGCTCCAGGTGCCATGACAGTCCCTCCACAGCATGAAAGGACCAGACATCTTTGGACGCATTTGATTTTTTATTTTAATTTAATTTAATTTAGTAATTTCTACAGGGTGCGTGTGCTCACCAGAGAAAGACGGACAGAGTGAGAGAGAAGGGAAGTGAGAAAGCACCCCCTGGGGGGATGGCCATGGTGTATCCTTTCTCCTCCATTCTCCTGTCTGTATTTTGGACAAGCATACATATGCCCAGTGGGGGTCTCAAGCCCTTAGGTGGGGGCCTCGAGCCATGCAATTGCCCACGTAGGACCTAGTCGCCTTAGCCACCATGCCAACTGGCTAGTCCAGATGTCTTTTATTTTTAATTCTTTAAAAAGTTTACTTATTTGTTCCATGAGCAACAGAAACAGGAAGGGGGATACAACACCTCTGATAGGGTTTTGATGCCATGATCCACTGCAGCTCCAGCCAGCCCTAGAGTGTGGGCACACATATGCCCAGCATTCTCAGGGAGGTCCCAGGAAACGAACCAGGTGCCTTCCCATTTGGTCAGCCTCAGGGAGCATTGCATTTCACTCGTGCTCCACCCAACCCCGATGCCTTTAAGAGTAAGGTAGTCACAAAGTCAGGGAGGACGTTTCCCACAAGGTCAGACTGAAGCAGAACTGGAATCTCTTTCCCATGACAGCTAAGAAAACATAAAACCCCAGGAGATGTTCTCAAAAGATGGTTACGTGTATAGGACCACAATATTGAGAATGGAAACCTACCAATCAGAAAGGAGAATTCTTTGACGGGGCAGCTAGATATAAAATGCTTATTTCTGACAATGAAAAAGGTATGAATAATTCAAAAGTCGGGAAAACTCAACGATTAAGAACATAGGCTGGGAGTTAGACCCAGATCCAAAGCCTCATCCCTCTACGATCTTGGATAATGTTACATCTTTACTAAGCTCTCTTGCCTCCTCTGTAAAATGGAGATTGTGTTAGCACTTCCTTGTAATAGTGTGAAGGTTAACGAGAAAATCCATAAGCAATATTTAACAGGATCTGACATATACATTTAATCTTTTTTTTTTTTTCTGCTATAGGGTGCGAGCACTTGCTAGGCAGACAGAAAGATAGAAATCACCCCCTGGGGGGATGGCCACACCGCAATCCCTTCTCCTCCATTCTCCTCTCGGGATTTTGGGCACGCACGCACATGCGCCCAGCATGAGTTTTAAGCCACCGGGTCCAGGACACGAACCGCGGTCAACTACATGGGAGTCCAGCGACATAGCCATTATGCTAACTGCTGGTCCCTAAATTTAATCTTTATCATTGTTCCCGAACTCAAATCAGGTTCGCTCGCCCAAGCACTATAAAACCAAACCATAGGCACATGGTGTGATGAAGGAAAGTACAGCTTTATTGCAAAGCGCAAAGCAAGGAGAGCGGGCAGCTTGTGCTGAAAAGACCCATCTCCCTGAGATGTTCCCCACGTGCGTTTTTAAGGACAAAATTAGGGGCAGAGATCCCAGGCGCATGATCAGTTCAGTGATTGGTTTAAGAGGGTGTGATCATCTTGTGGGCATTCTTAATTGGTGAGGCCTTAGATAATCAAATTCCTCTTCAGGTGTCTGGAACCGTTCAGCCTGGAGTCTGAGCTCACAACCAGCAGTTTCCAGCCTACAAAACATCTTACAGAGTGAAATGAAAATCTCTTTCCTTTAAGTGAGAGTTTTAGAGGTCAAATGGCCCTCACTCATGGTCCATGTTGGTCATTATCATAACCAAAGTCTGAAGACTTACTCCTTACTCTGGGCCATTACCATGTAAATGGACTTTATATTTCAGGAACCCTAGAAAATACACTGGGGAGGGGGGGGTGTCCTTACTCAGTTTCAATCATCATTATCATGAAGAGACAGAAAGAGGCCTGGCCCTGCAGCCTAGCGGTTAAGGGACCCAAACCGCACATGGCTGATCACAGTTTGAATTCTGGTCCCATGTGTAGATGGATGTTCCAGACTCCGACAGGATGGAGATACGGAGGCGAAGGGATTGTGTTGGGCCCAAGCCCACTGAGGGCGCTTTCTCCCTCTCTCTTCCTCTTTTTCTGTCTCTCTGATGAGTGCATATACCTTCCGGCAAATAAATAAATAAGATTCTACCTACTGCTCCCTGGGGAGACTGGTGTTGAGACCCACTTTAGATAAATGCTATCAACCTAAATCTCTCCGACTCGACTCGCTTGACATTCCAGTCCCTTGATTCCGAATGCGCTCTCTACCGCTCTGCGTACCGCTCTGCTCCGCGGGGTTTTGTTTCTCTTCCTCTTAATGTTCTGACCACCCTTTCAGTGCACCCCTGTGATTGTTTTATCAGCCATTTCTAGGGTTTCCTCTCGACAGCCACTTCCCCATGAGCGGGGCACCCTCCCTCCAGGCCCCGGCACTTCAATTATCTGTCAGCTCCTAAGGAGGAGGAAGCCTGAGAGGGAAGGCAGCTGCAAGGGGGAAGAACAGAGAAAGATTGAAGTGGGGAAGCTCTTCCTGGATTGAGGCTCTCAGACAGGTCGAAGCACAGCATCCCTAGTCTAGTCTAGAAATGTGTCAGGAAGGCAGGTCTTTGCCTGGAAGCACCTCCCTCTCGAACTACTTTTTAGAAATGCAAATACCCTACCAAGGGGACTGTTAGCTCCAGGGTGCGAATTGGCTCACCACTTTTTTTTCTTTTTTTAATGTGTTACAGGGCAACTGTGCTCACATAGAGAAACAGCGAGAAA